TCAAACTCACAGGTCCAAGTCATAGAAGCTAACAAGAACTTTGCATCCGCACTCTTCTGAAGATTCATTCTCAGCCCTCATAAGTTGAGAGTCACCCTGAGGACTTGAATTTAAAGAAAAAAAAAACACCATACAACCTCTCCTGGCTCTGACAGGTCTGAAAGATTGGGTGGGAGTAACAATCCCTGAACCAGGACATTTTGAGCTCTCTGGAAAGCAGACTATTAGATTGTCTCCACCACCACCACCACTAATGATGAAGACAATAACTGAAATTTTAATAGTATTTACCATGAGGTAGGCCCTGTTGTACATATATACATCTCACACAGTATATTTTAACTCACAATCTTAATGCTGTAGGACTATCATCATTTCCCTTTCTCATATGAGGAAAGGGTAAGATTAAGTAAAATTAGGCACATTGTTCAGGGCCTCATATTGAGTAGGAGGTACAGCTAGGATTACAACTCATGCTCGCTAGAGGTAGAGACATAGACTATATATCATCTTGCTTTGAATGCTGTGCTAATCAACATACCATAGATCATTCAGTGCTCTTGAGTTGAAAATCATGGCACAGCCTTTTAAGCAAGGCTTGACTTCCCAAACTTACTTCAGGTCCTGTGTGGAACCATAATTCACCTTTAATGACTATTGGGGCCTTAGACAGTAAGTAAAACAGGGCAACTTGTCACAGCAAATACAGGGCAAACAATGACATGCTCTGTAGGAATACAAAAGGGCAGGTTTGGCTTCTGTTTTTTTCTGTTGTTTGGAAGAAAAAAGGGACTGGGGTCTATTAATGGTGAATTGATCATGAAGTCAAACCCCTCTTTGAAAGAATTATACATCCACCTGAGCCACATCTGATAAATGTATTAAGGTTATGAAAAGGTGTGTAATTACTTGACTAAACAGGCTATGGAAAAATTACATCTTGAGGTTGATTTAGCAGCAAAGCACCTTGATAAAACTCTTCTGTTTTGAAAATTCTCTCAACTATACTGCAAGAATGCTGCTTTTCATTTACCAGTTTCACTTCCATCTACTGATATTTGATTGTATTTGAGCACATGGAGGGGACTTTATCAACAAGTTAGAGATCTGCTATGGTCCAGTGCTCTTGCTAGGTGCTAATAAATGAAATATGACAAAATTTGATTACAGAAATTCCCCCTGACACTCACCATCAGTTTTTTTATTACCCAGTTAAACATTTAAAGGCTATCTGCTAGATGTATTTTTTATTCTGGTAACTATATTCATATGTA